AGATTGCTTGGAAAGAAAGGCATGGTTCGAAAGAAAGGGTAAGCCTAGTGCTTCAGTATGTTTCGAATCAAATTCAACTTAGGTTCCTTATAATACTTGGTGGGTTGACACTGGTTGTACCATTCATGTTTCCAAAACAATGCAGGGATTCCTTACGACCCAAACCATAAGGCAAAATGAGAAGTTCATCTATATGGGAAACCGAGCCAAAGTTCCAGTTGAAGCTATTGGGACTTATCGTTTGGTTTTAGATACTGGCCATCATTTGGACCTTGTCAATACCCTTTATGCTCCTTCTATTTCTCATAATTTGGTTTCGGTGTCTCAACTAGATAAGGCTGGGTATTTTTGGAACATTGGAAATGGTTCTATTAGTTTGTTCAAACAGAATGTTTTATTGGCTTCTGGTACCCTTGTTGATGGTTTGTACAAACTAAAGCTTAATACCCTATTCGCTAAGACTCTCTTAACCTTGCATCATAATGTTGGTATTAAACAAGGTTTGTTTGATGAATCCTCTGCTTACTTGTGGCATAAACGTTTGGGTCACATATCCAAAGAAAGAATGGAAAGGCTAGTAAAGAATGAGATCCTTCCTCATTTGGATTTTACCGACCTTGGAATTTGTGTTGAGTGTATTAAAGGAAAACACACAAAATACACACTTAAGAAAGCAGCCACAAGAAGCTCACAGCTCCTTGAAATTATACACACTGATATTTGTGGGCCTTTTGATGTTCCATCACTTGATGGAGAAAAGTATTTCATTACCTTTATAGATGATTTTTCACGTTATGGATATGTCTATTTGCTGCATGAAAAAATCTCAGTGGGTAGATACCCTTGAGGTGTTTATCAATGAAGTTTAGATGCAATTAGAAAGAAAGGTGAAAATTGTCAGATCTGATAGAGGTGGAGAATATTATGGAAAATATGATGAAAGTGGACAGTGCCCTGGTCCATTTGCTAAGTTCCTAGAAAGACGTGGTATTTGTGCTCAATACACTATGCCAGGAACACCACAACAAAATGGTGTTGCAGAAAGGCGGAATTGTACTTTAATGGATATGGTTAGGAGTATATTAAGCAACTCATCTTCACCCAAATCATTGTGGATGCACGCTTTAAGGACCGTTGTGTATTTGTTAAACAGGGTTCCTAGTAAAGCAGTTCCTAAGACACCTTTTGAACTGTGGACGGGAAGGAAACCCAGTTTAAGGCACCTGCATGTTTGGGGTTGCCCAGCGGAAGTGAGAATATATAATCCACATGAAAAGAAACTGGACTCACGAACAATCAGTGGTTTCTTCATTGGTTATGCAGAAAAATCTAAGGGGTATCAATTTTATTGCCCTAATCATAGTACGAGAATTGTTGAAACTGGAAATGTTAAGTTCATTGAGAATGGTGAAGTTAGTGGGAGCTTAGAGCCACACAATGTGGAAATTCAAGAAGTTAGAGTGCAAATATCTTTACCTCTACCCTCTTCTCAAGTTGTTGCTCCTGCACATGTTGAGCATGATAACGATTTGCAGGAACAACAAATGAACGGTCAAGCACCACCTAATATTGCTATTGAGAATGAACCTAACATAGATGACCACAAGAAATCGCATTAAGAAGGTCTACAAGAAATCGAAGGCCTGCAATTTCTGATGATTATGAGGTTTATCTTCATGAGTTAGAATCTGATTTAGGACTCTATCATGATTCAGTTTCATTTTCACAAGCCATGGAAAGTGAGCATTCTGATAAATGGTTAGCTGCCGCGAAAGAAGAGATGAAATCTATGTATAAAAATGAAGTTTGAGACCTTGTTGATTTGCCTGAAGGTTGTAAAAGAGTTGGTAATAGATGGGTATGGAAGACCAAACACGACTCTAATGGCAATATCGAAAGACACAGGGCCAGACTTGTTGCCAAAGGTTTCACTCAGAAAAGTGGTGTTGACTATAAAGAGACATTTTCACCCGTCTCTAAGAAAGACTCCTTACGGATTGTCATGGCAATGGTAGCTCATTATAATCTAGAGCTCCATCAGATGGATGTGAAAACCGCCTTTCTGAATGGGAATTTAGATGAAGCAGTCTATATGGATCAACCTGAGGGTTTTATGGTTGAGGGAAAAGAACATATGGTGTGTAAATTAAAGAAGTCAATATACGGACTTAAATAAGCTTCCCGACAATTGTATATTAAGTTCAATGATACCATTACATCTTTTGGATTTAAGGAGAACATCGTCGATCGATGTATATATATGAAGATTAGTGGGAGTAAGTTTATAATTTTAGTTATGTATGTTGATGATATCTTGCTTGCTACTAATGATCTTGGTTTATTACATCAAACCAAGGAGTTTCTCTCTAAGAACTTTGAAATGAAGGATTTGGGTGAGGCATCCGATGTGATTGGAATATAAATATTTCGTGATAGATCACAAGGACTGTTGGGATTGTCTCAGAAATCATACATTAACCGGATCCTAGAGAGATACAACATGGCTGAATGCTCTGCAAATGTCGTTCCAATTCAGAAGGGAGATAAAATTTAGTCTCAAACAATGTCCAAAAAATGAATTGGAACGCAAGCAAATGGAACACATTCCTTATGAATCTATTGTTGGAAGTTTGAATTATGCACAAACTTGTACCTGACCAGACATCAGTTTTGCTGTCGGTATGTTGGGCAGGTATCAAAGTAATCCATGAGTAGATCATTGGAAAGATGCAAAGAAGGTACTAAGGTATCTGCAAGGAACAAAAGACCACATGCTCACCTTCAGGAGATCTGATCACCTTGAGGTGATTGGATATTCAGATTCAGATTATGCTGGATGTGTAGACACCAGGAAGTCTACTTTTGGCTATTTGTTGCTTCTAGCCGGAGGGGCAATTTCATGGAAGAGTGCGAAGCAGTCTGTTATTGCCACATCCACTATGGAAGCTGAATTCATAGCTTGTTATGAAGCTACGAATCATGGTTTATGCCTGCAGTATTTTATTTCTGGACTTGGAATTGTCGACACTATTGCCAAGCCGCTGAAAATTTACTGTGATAATTCCGCAGCGGTATTCTTCTCTAAGAATGACAAGTATTCAAAGGGTGCTAAGCATATGGAGGTGAAATACTTTGTCGTTAAGGAAGAAGTTCAGAAACAAAGGGTGTCGATCGAGCATATTAGCACACAGCTTATGATTGCTGATCCATTAACAAAAGGATTGCCTCCTAAGACATTTACTGAACATGTCGAAAGGATGGGGATTATAGGACGTCATGACTAAAGTTATTTTATGTTTCATGGATTGACACTTTGAGCTCATTTATTTTGTTTCTGGAATAAAGTTATGAATCTTGTTTTATTTATTATGATCAGTATATATACATTATGCATTATGTGAACAAAACAAGATTTTTGTCTTTAGGAAAGACATTATTGTTGAACCATTATGACTACCTTGTTATGTGTCGTATTAAGCATGAGACTGGTTTGGTGGTACATGGAAGAGACTATGTCGATAAATTGATATAGAACCACCATGATCCTAATCTAGTTTTCATACTTGATTATGATTTTATGGTGAATCAAATATTATGGATTTATCTTATGATGTGCACACTTATGTTTATTATTAGATCTTGTGATATATAATGACACATGGACCAAGTGGGAGAATGTACGCTCAAATCCCGCAGGTCACTAGGGAATAATTGTGGCCCAAGTGTAATTATCACTTAATGGTTTAATATATAAGGTAAATCCTATATTGATTACGTTAATGAAAGGTAAATTCCTAATATACCCTGATGGTGGGTCTATATAAAGAAGCTCTAGGATTGGTCCTCTCTCAACCCATTACGTAGAATTTCTTAGCCATCATAGAAACCTCTAAACCTAAAACCTAAAGGGGTCAAGAGGGAGAAACTCAATTCCGGTGATTACTACTCCAGCGCCGCTGCCGCTCTCGTCATGGATCGAGGTAGGTTTTCCCGATCTATTATCGATTCGTGAAATCATCTAATTCTAAGATCCATACTATTATGATTTATGTTTACAGTACAATCATAAAATGCAGTTTTCTGGAATCGCTCCCAGTACATGAAATTTAAAATAAGGGTTACAGTTTTCTCTTTTATTTGTAGAGCAATGAGTTATGTTTAATTAAAAGAATGACAACAAATACGATCTAGTCTAATTGGTTAAGTGTTCCTTCTTTATCTGAGTGATATGTGTTCTTCCTAGAATTGCTTCCATACCACAAAATTTTTGGAATGGAGGTGGCAATAGACGAGATGTAAATTCTTATCTATAATGCACCGATTCATTAACAGTTTTATAATGGATGAATATCTGTTAAACTAATAAGTGTGAACCATTCTTCTACCCGTTACACCTTAGCTTCGCTTTAAGTTTTAGGGTTAATTTTTCGTATGATCTGAACTTTGACCAAAATAAACATCATGGTCAATCTTTTCAATTTATAACATCCTGGCCCGAACTATACACGAAAATAAACAATTTGGCCAGATCCGACTTTTAACCGTTAACTTGGACGGTCAAACGCGTTGACCGTTAGTCAACGCGCCATGTCACTGCCAAGTCAGCATAAAATATTTAAAATAATTCACAATTTCCACACATTCTCTAATTTTAAATTATTATAAATTAAAAAAATCATCTCATACCTTAGTTAAACCAAAAATAAAAAACGAAAAAAATTGCATATTTATCAGATCTTCTGACTTGGCAGTGATGTGCGTTTGACCGTCCAAGTTAACGGTCAAACATCGTGTTTGGCCAAATTGTTTATTTTGGTATATAATTCGGGTCAGGATATTATAGATCGAAAAGATTGACAAGAATGTTTATTTACGAAAATATTAACCCTAACTTTAAGTAATAACATTGATTTTATCTTCAACCACGGAGAGCAGCTCATTTCCAGAGTGACTTGTCGGCTATCGGCTCCGAGGGCAGAACTCAGAATCAGATTGCTGTCATGGCGGAGAAGCCTACGAATGGTACTAACAACTCTTTCTCGTCAATTTTTTCCCAAGACGGCAGTTCGGAGTGCACGTCTCCGGTGCCTCTTTACAGTTTACCCCTTCCGCTGGAAGAATTAGTTAGTGATATGGGTCATGTTATGCAGAGACTATCCTCCAGCTGCTCAAACATGGAGCTGCTCACTTCGAGCTCGTTCCCTCACCAGTCCCCTCGATTTCAGCTACCCCGCTTCAAATGCGTTCCGTCCCCTTCTTCGCCAACAATAGCCATCGGTTCTTCGCTCGAATTGGACCAGCACTGTGAGTTCCTTTGCCTTTTTGGAGCTTTCTTATTCGATTCTTTGATTCTTTCACAGGCTGAAACTCCGTTGCCGGTGTTACTCTTTTCTCTTCCAGAGATAGGGGACCCCCTGAGACGAAGAAGAAGTTGGAGCAATATTCAGTTCAGAAAGTCACCGGAGATGGCCGCTGTCTATTCCGTGCGTTGGTATCTTATTTCCTCTTCTCTAGCTCATTCCTCGACTCGATTTCCGCATCCATCGTCCTTGAAACCAAGGCTTGAACATAGGATTGTGGCTATTAATTCGAAACCTTAATCAATTGCTGAATGCATTGCTGCGTTTGTCAAAGAAGTGGCAACAGACGCTAGTGCTGAAAGTCTAGAAAACACATTGTAGGAGCTTCTGTTCATTTTTCTCAAGAGGTTCACTAACTAACGCTGGAGCGGATTTCGGAGCCTTGTTCAGTAGTAGATTAAGGTTATGAACTTAATCAATTGCTGAATGCATTGCTGCGTTTGTCAAAGAAGTGGCAACAGACGCTAGTGCCGAAAGTCTAGAAAACACATTGTAGGAGCTTCTGTTCATATTTCTCAAGAGGTTCACTAACCTAACGCTGGAGCGAACTTCGCCTTGTTCAGTAGTATATTAAGGTTATGAACTTAATCAATTGCTGAATGCATTGCTGCGTTTGTCAAAGAAGTGGCAACAGTCTAGAAAACACATTGTAGGAGCTTCTGTTCATTTTTCTCAAGACTCAAGAGATTCACTAACCTAACGCTGGAGCGGACTTCGGAGCCTTGTCCAGTAGTAGATTAAGGTTATGAACTTAATCAATTGCTGAATGCATTGCTGCGTTTGTCAAAGAAGTGGCAACAGACGCTAGTGCCGAAAGTCTAGAAAACACATTGTAGGAGCTTCTGTTCATTTTTCTCAAGAGGTTCACTAACCTAATGCTGGAGCGGACCTCGGAGCCTTATTCAGTAGTAGATTAAGGTTATGAACTTGATACTGTTGTCACCTGCGCTACGGTTAATATCTGTTTGAATTTCAGTCTTGCAGATAGTTGCATAATTGATAGCAAACTAGAGAAGAGAATAGTAATTATTAGCCAGTAGATACTAGATGGTGCTAATCTTGTGTTTAGTTATAGTATGAGGTGTGTCGTGTCTTTGGTTAAGCACTAGAGACCTTGTCTTTCTAACTCAATGTAACTTATGTTGTCGGATGCATAGGTGTCACCCTCTTCTCTCATAAGTTGACTATATGACATTACTATTGTTCATCGCATGATCTTAGTCATGATTGATCAAACCAGGTAAAAGGAATGGCTTTGAACAAGGGTATTCCGCTTAAGCCACGGGAAGAGAGAGATGATGCAGGTATGTTTGAGCAGTTGGAAATTTATAAGTTTCCTGTTTCATGGATCTTTGTTGATACATTTGCATCACTTGTGCTTTGCCATCATGTAATTTGCCAAAAAAGTGGATATCTCCATTTCCACCCAAATCAATATCGGCTTCCTCTTTTGGCTGTAGTGGTACCTTTATTGTTTGCGTGTTCCTGCAGAACAACCTTCTCTTTGTTCATTAGTGATTACTGTCTAGATGTGATTCTCTTGTATGTTTACTTTTCTTAGTAGTGATTGAAAAGCAAAAATCTTTCCTGATTTTGATCATGAAGTTCTCTGGAAATGGATATCTATCTAAGAATATGTTTCTTTCAGATGACTTGAGAATGGCTGTTAAGGAGATTATTTGCCAAAGTGGTAATGAACGCCAGCAGTATGAAGAAGCATTGATTGCAATAACAGTTGATGAACCATTGAAGCGGTCGGTCTTCTTTCTAATCAAATTTCTGTTCACCATTTTTCTATTAAGTCTTGCAGTGTACTACCCTACGGTCCCTTCCAATGACAGCATGATTAACACCTTTTGTTTGTTGACGTTTCCAGTTATTGTCAAAGAATAGGACGTCCCGACTTCTGGGGTGGGGAGTCGGAGCTTCTGGTCAGTACTGTTTTTGGTCTGCTCTTCTAGGGAGTTAACTGCATTTGTCTAGTTAACTTTTCATGAAATTATTAAGTTCATCCATTACGAATTTCGATTGGTATGGGCGCAAACATCTATATGTCTGTTGTTATTTATGGTTGCCTCCTAGAATTCCTTGCATGCACATACTGAATCGCTATACTGTGACAACCGTTTATGTGCAGGTACTCTCAAAATTGTGTAGACAACCAGTCATAGTTTACATTCCAGAGCACGAGGTAAGATGTCTGGATGTTGCCCTACATCCAGCTTGATTCTGGTTAACCACAAACATTTTCTTGGAATGGTGAAATCGAATATCCTTCCGCCTTGGTACCAATTTTTCCTGTTTCCAGACAGAACTATGTGAAATAGGTGCTGTGACTGGCTGGTCTGTTTTCCTGTTTTCTTGGCATTTAGTTTGTCGTGGACAATGTAGAACCTGTGTTCAATATCTCACTGTATATGGATTATGTGTCGAATATGAATGCAGCATGTGAGAGGTGGATGGGGCTCGGGATTTATCCCAATAGCTGAATATGGAGGCGAGTTCAGCAAGGGCTCCTTCATGGGCAAGCCGAAGAAAGCTGTGAGGCTTCTTTACAGTGGCAACAATCATTATGATCTACTCGTCTAGAGTTCCATTTCCGTTCCCAGGAAGACGACGTTGTATGCTCAAATGTCTCCCAAAAGAAGAGGTAGATCAGAATTTCGTTCATGGAGGCTACAATGACACAGTGCTGCCCCTCGTTCTGGAGCTTGTTCCAGACAAGTTTCTCAATCTCCAGATTATCCAATTAACGTGTTAGATTTGCCTATGGTTTTGTGCAACGGTTGATGAATATAAACCTGAACTTAAGATTCCATTTTACAATTTACAATAAATTTGGAGTCATGGTTCAAAATGGAAGAAAGGGGGGGAAGTTTGATACATTACAGGGCAAAATATAGCTAGCTCACTCGTTTAGTTGCTGCAAAAAATTAAAAAGAAATTCCGTTGCCGGGACTTGAACCCGGGTCTTTCGGGTGAGAGCCGAATATCCTGACCAACTAGACTACAACGGATTGTTGATAATATATCAATACGAATTTTTTTATAAAACACGTACGTTTAAGATAGTTTTTCAATTGTACTATGTGAAAAGTTGGATGGATAATTTATGAAATAATTTTTAGACACTTAAAAGTAATGGATGGTGGATGGTCTGCTTTTTAATTTTTTTTTGGGTATATGAGAAATAATGAATATGAATAAATTATTAGAAATAGTTTCTATTTCAAAGAGTTAGAAATTTAGAATACGAAATGGAATTTACTAATTGAAGTTACCCTCGAATGAAATATATAGGTATTTGTTGAGAGTGAATTATATAGGTATTTGAAATGGTAGGGTTTGGGTAAGTTTTTTTTTTTTTTTTGTTTTTTAAATTTTTGAGATCAGTAATTCAGTACACAATTGTTTTATGTCTTGAAAGAAGCAACCCTTTTCCCGTTGTTAGATCTGCGAAATGAAGAAATATAAGCGGCCAAAACCAAACAGCAAAAGCACAGCAGTCCTCTACTCCTCTCTCTCTCTCTCTCTCTCTCTCTCTCGCCCTTTCTCCATCGCGGGCTCTGCTGCTCCTCCTCCTCCTTCAAGACACTCCCAAGCTTCCCGGTCGCCGACTCTTTTACCATCCTTTCGCCTTCAGTGTTTCCTTGTCTTCCATATCATGAGGATTCGGAAGAACGCAAGCCAAATGTCGGGACCAGCAGCAGCAGCAGCGATGCCGCCTGAAACCACCGCCCACGTCATCTGCCAGCTAAATCAGTCGCCGTGGGATCTGATTCCCTCCTCCGCCGCCGCCGCTCCTCCCGACAGTTTCCCCTCTCCCTCCTACTTGCTGCTAAACCGCCAGGTACAGTGTTACCAATTCCTCCCTCTCCCATTTCCCTCCCTCCCGACTACGAGCTAGGGTTTTTCTTAGGGTTCGGCCCAGAAATTTCGTTCAACGCTGTCGTCGATTCTTGCTTGGTAGTGAATGATTAGGTTAGTGCGTGCCCCTCATTTCTGCTGCCTCTAGTTTCTCGGCCTTTCCTCCCCCCTATTTATTATTACTATGCCTGCATATCGCCCATTATCGTAAACATTTTTACTTCAGTTCCAAGCTGGGGAAGGTAGCAACATCACCGGCAATGGTAGCTTAGACGGCTCCGTCGGCTGTGGCGAGAGGTAATTCCTCTAATTAATTCCAGTCTCTTCCCATTCCTATTGTTTCGCATTCCACATCTGCATATATTAGGGTTTCTGGATATATAGTAAAATTCCTCGACAGTTTGTGTCGGCCTTCCCCATTTCGATAACTACCTGCCTAGCTAGTCTATGTTGATCTTAAAGGTTATTATTCAATACGATTCTTCAGCGTGGCGTCGATGATGGAGGACGACACGGACGGCGGAGACCAGAAGGCTGAGGATGGGGAGGAATCGACGGAAGCGGATGTTTTCAACTATCACGATAATGTTAATGGCAATAATGGCGCCGCCAGTAGGTGGACGACGAGGAGAGGGGGGAGGGGAGTGAGTGCTAGCCACGGGAAGGCGGCTGCGAACAATACGACGTCGTCGGGGCGCCGAGGAGGGAGGGCAAAAGCGGCAAAGAAAGGGGCGTCGATGAGCTCCGACCCCAACGAATTTTACTATTATTCTGGATTCGGACCGCTGTGGGGAAAACGGAGAGGAGGCCACCGCGCTGGCGCTGGCGGCGGCGATGAGGCTAACAATAATAATATTAGTTATGCTAGCAGCGGGGGTACTGGTCCGGCTGCGGGCCCAAGTCGTGCGAATTCGTCTTCGCCGCCGTTAGCTGCGTTCGATTTTATTGACGAGGACTACGACTTTGACGAGGAGGAGGAGGAGGAGGAGCTGGATGAGGCAGCGGGCGGCGATTTCATCAGCAAGAAGCGGATGCGGAAACCGGTGAAAGCCAGATCCCTCAAGTCGCTGATGTGAATGTCCGGTGGCTGAATCGGGGAGATAGCTAGGGAAGCGCACTGCCGTTAGCTCGGCGGCGGCGGGTAAGGTGTTTCTTTCCTTCTCGTCTCCTTGGTTGATATTATCGGTGGGGGTTTCTTTTTTCGTCTTTCTTTTTATTTTAATTTCGATTATTATTATTATTATTATTATCGTTTGAGCTTTATTCTGTTTTTGAATTTTTAGGGTTTATTTATGAGGGAGAGCAGTGTGTTGTCGTGTTGTTGAGATGGGGCAAGTGGAGGGGTTGTAGGGTGCGATCCTCGTTGGGATACCGTAGACTTCCTTTCTGAGTGACAACTTAAAATCTACCATTTGGGGAAAATCTCGCCTTATCTAGCTAGTTTAGAGCTGAGATTTTTTACCAGATGGATTGTTGTAATATAGAGATTGGAGATTAGGTGTTGTTTGTATGTGTAATTTTAACTGCAGGAAAGACTTTTTAAATTAAAGCAATGTGTCAATGGAGGTCGGCACGGTTGTGGTTAACCACAATACAACACACAATTGCTGGATAACCACAATACAAAAGAAATTGCTGAATATGCAAACCACAGACCAAATCACAGTAGTTTGTGGTTAATCACTACGATGATCTTATGCGGTTCGGTTATGGTTAACCACAAAAACCAACTTATCAAAATCATAAATTCATCAATATAATTATTTTATAAATAAGTAAAATTTACTAGTAGACAAAAGAAAAGAAAATAGAAAAATACAAATGAGAACAGTAACGACTGTAACGTTAACAAAAGGTGAGATCCACGTGTGACTAATTGAGAAAATATTAAACAAAAAATGGACAAAAGAAGAAAATATAGCAGCTAAAAGTAAGATATAAAACCAAAAGTAACAAACAAATCCCATCAAGAAAATCAAGAACAACATAAGAGAACATGTAAATTCTATTTAGAAGATATAACACATTAGCAACAATTCAACACCATCCTTATTCATAATGAAGTAAGCAATTCAACAATTAATACAAAGTATTAAGTCCTCCATAACTAATTCAACAATACAAAAAAGATATTAGTAAAGTACTAACTACTATTAATTTGAGAAGTTCACAAAAATTGATACCTATATTTATTAATATTACTATTATCTACTAAACTGTAAAAAAAAACTTCAATAAGTAAGCGTGGTTTGTACGGTTATTGTGGTTTAACCATAATGGTTAACCACTATCCATAAAATTCATAATTTTACTAAACATAACAAAACCACTAACCACAAAGTACGGTTAATGGTTGACCAAACTACGTGTGATTCAGTGCAGTTGTGGTTAAATCGCAAACCACAAATCAAACTTCTACCCCCCTAAGTCAAGATAAAGCTACAACAATGATGTTTCTTTGTCATCACCTCCACGAGGCATTGAAGAATGAGTATTGATTCGTTGTAGACCATAGCCCAAATTTACCTAACCCTAAGTCCATGATTGTATTTCCCTAGGGTCTCTCACATAACCCTTACTTCGGAAGCGAGGTATGCTTCTATTGAAGAAGAGAGCGATTTAGGAGGTTGAGCTACCTTCAGTTTTACAGAACGTAAGAGTTAGAGAGTACGAGGTGTAAAAAATAAATTTATGCTACTAGACGAGTGAGAAATCAGAGAAAGAAGACGTTGTATAGACAAGTTCCCCTAACCATGTATCCTTGTCACGATCCAGTTCATGTATTGTCAGTCTTAAGAGAATCTGCGTACCACACTCAAGTAGTGGTGTAGCCAGACTTTGAGTTCACTAGGGTCCTTAAAATTTTACTAACACTAAAGTCTGTGTATCGACTAAATTTTGAGTAGACCGGGGTCCTTGGTAAGCTATCATCGTCGAGGATATGAGGTCCTAAAATTAAAAGATCGTACTAAACCCGATGTATCTAAAAAAATTTGTTGCTCACTTTTTGCCAAGTGGGGTCCTAGGACCCCTCTCCTCCTCACCTCCCTCCGACACTGCACTCAAGGGCACGATCTCACAATTTGTATGTGTCACGTCTTACAACCTGGCGCGCATATTGTTCTTGATTAGTGGTATATGTTCGAATGACGTACGAGAGTAAACATGCCAATATACCCGGCTAGGCGAACTCGCATAAGCGCGTCTTTCTACAACTATGGATCACAACTCAATATTTAGGAAAATACAAGTTTCTATCTTATTTGTTAGATCCCACCTTGCGTCGAAGTATTTACCCAAACTAATGGGAGATAAGGACCCTTCTGATTTTTCCCTTGAGGCGTCATGCAGTTCGATTGAATGACATTTGATCTAGTAGGACTGCTATCTCTAGTCTCATACTAAGCGACTTGGATTTTGATCCTTGCACCTCGAAGGAGTGCAAGATTGGAGAAGAAAGGTGTTGCATAAGCAAGTTCCCCCTAGGTTTCCTAACCATGTATCCTTGTCACGATCCAGGTCATGTCTTGTCGGTTTTAAGAGAATCCGCTTACTGCGCACTCGAAGCCACAATCTCCCTTGTACGTGTCACGTCATAACCTGGCACACTTATTTTTCTTGAACATCGATATACGTTATAACGACGTAGGCAAGTAAACATGCCAATATACTCGGCTAGGCAAACTCGCATATTTGGCAACATATGAGCTGCCGATTTCTTATTTTGTTAGATTTCACCTTGTGTCGAAGCATTTACCCGAACTAATTGGTGACAAGGACACTTCAAATTTCTCCCTTGAGGCATCACGTCGTTCAATGGAATGACGCTCGATCGAGTAGTACTGCTATTTCTAGTCTCATTCGAGTAGTAGGATTGCAATCCTGTCACCTCAAAGGAGTGCAAGGTCGACTGTGCTCTCATTCTAATAGACAAATAACAAAATAAAGGGAATCAAACATCAAGGCATATGAAATAAACACGATCGAAATAAACCAAACATCGATTTTACATGGTTAGAACCCCTACCTACGATATTAAGGAACTTAGCCAACCATGAGGAGGGGTTCCTTGGTGTTCATCAATTGAAATAAAGACCCCAGAATGCCCACAGAAATGGCACCATCGATAGAGAAAATTGGCCCAAGGCCGCTGTTTCTCCCTAGGAGGTTGGTCTAGTTCTAATCAGGAGGGTTGATATGTCAGCATAACAAAATTGATCCACCTTGACCTGTCATCTCTTTCTCATGTTTTCTATCTATAGAAACCAATTTATAGGCCTTTGATTAGGCTTTCTTAGAATCAGGATGCTTTAGGATGACTTTCTAACGATGTAGTTGATCTCCACAAAACGGCGGCTAGGGCGTTGTTTCACACCCTGGGGCGCCATTTTTGGCATTGTTTCTTTAAGTCGTCCTCTCTTCCAATCTTGTCTCCAGCAACGAGATCTCAATGTCACCTACGGCTGTCAAGCGGTCCACTAGTATGCTTTGATGTTACGAGACAAATAATTGAAGAATTCTTGACTCGTAACCTCCTTGCGATAAAACTAACAAACTACGATAAAAACGCGATAAACGAAAGACAATAAACTAGATTTGGGTTCCAATCTTCTTCATACCATTAAACGAATGAGACATTGCATATTTATAGGCACAAAATCCTCTCCTTCTTCCTTATGGTTTCGGTCCACTTTTCCCTATTCCTACCCATAATACGTAACCTTCTCCTACAAGGACACCACAACCAAATCCTAAACAAATACCAAAAGACAACACAAATCCTACTAAGACTAGGAAACAATAATAAAAACATCCCAATTAACAACTAAACACTTAATAATTAATAAACTACTAAAATAGACGAGCTCAGAAAATGCCCAAATTATTAGGATAGCTCGTCTCGTAACAATCCTCCCCCCTTAAGCGCAACCTTGACCTCAAGGTTGGTCATCCTCGTAGTTGAAGCGACCATCTTCCCCCTCCTTGCACGGTCCCACCATGAGAAGCACATTAAGGTTGGCACAACAATGACCTATGGTGAAGCGCTCATCGCAGTGGAAACATAACCCTTGTGCTCTTTGCCGGTTAACCTCCTCTAGTGACATCCTTCGACTGGTGAGATTGAGGGGTGATGGCGCGGTCCGCGGCGGAAGTGGCGCGGAATTAGTTCCCGACTCGACCTGTGCACACGACAGACTTCTGGTCTCCCCTCGCTGCTTGGACAATTCTTCGTTCTTCACTTTGGCTAAGTTAATGGCTTCGCACACCGTTTATGGTTTAAACATCCGAATAGCGTCAGAAATCTCTGACTTGAGCCCACCAATAAATGACCCCACCAAAGCTTCTTCGGTCCAGCCATAGCAACGATTCCCCAGCTTCTCAAATGTTAGGAGATAGTCATTCAAAGAGTCAGTTTGTTTTATTTTTGCGAGGGCCTCGTGACATGAAGCCCCATTAGATGGCCCAAATCGATCCCATAGTTCCTCCCGGAATTGTGGCCAAGTCATGGGCAACCCAGAGGTGCTGTAGGTACGATCTAGCCATTGCCACCACTGGTTTGCGTCTCCTTCCAGATGAAAGGATGCTAATGGTACCTTGTGATCTTGTGGCGTCTCTTGGAACTTAAAGAATTGCTCTACCCGTGCAAACCAGCCTGACGGATCTTCCCCACCATTGTACCTTGGGAACTCGAGTTGTACGATTTTAGGTCGGAAGAAGCCGACCCGATCATCAACCCGGTTCATTCCGTCACCCAAGTCAACCCAACCTCCCAGGCTAACCACTCCTCCGCCCATTCCCTATGCACCCATGCTGCTGCCCGACCCGCTTCCCGTACCGAGCCCTCCCGTCGAGCCATAGTTTGGCCCAAATCTCGACCCTGTATTGAAATTCAGATGAGGTCCACCCGACGGGCCATAATTGCTGGACCCAGTCGGCCGATATGCCCCGCCTTGGCCTGCTCCACTCGGACTGCCCCGCCCTCCTCCTGGCAACTCGGGCCCGCCATGCCAGCCCGTGCGACTGGCCTCGGCCCAGCCCAGAGGTTCCGGACCCGGAGTCCATGGCACACCCGGTCGCGGCCTAATTCCTTCCATTGTCGATCCTTGGCCCACACCTCCTCCTGTGTAGCTGGGCCCGCTTATGTTGGGTTGCTGGGGCAAGCCCCTTCCTGTCGATGGGGGCACCGCCCCTCTATCAGGTCCCAACAAAACTCCCTCGCTGGCTCGACCCGAGCCGCTGCCGCCACCAGTGGACGTCATCGCCAGCGCTCACCACGGTGGCTGGTATCATCCCGAGCCCCGGTCGATTGGCACCCATTTTCCCGCTGCTACCTCCATAAATATCGCCTGCATCAAGCGTTGTTTCGTCGACCACGACCATACCCTGCGGAACAGAATCTTGCTCCTCTCCCTCAACCTGTACACCTTCCAGTTTTTTGCCAGCCGTCACTCGATGCAGAGTCTCCTCTCCCGACGTCTTTTGCTTCAACGCCACATCTAGCCAGCCGGAAATCTAATGAAGTAGAGTTTCGATTTTACAAAATCGATTATCGATGGAGGTCTGACCGGCGGCCATGTTCTCCTCAACCTGACGAGCGGATTTGTTGATTTTGTCGTTAAGACCCTGGAGCTGTTCATCCACCGCCACCATTCGTGTATCATAATCGGCAAATCGCTCCTCCATAGCTGCTAGGCAGCCGTGTAGAGCACCCTCGTTGAACTCCTCAGAGCTCGATGTAGCCCTCGTTTTCCCCATGCTATCTTTGCTGTCGTAACCAAGAGTTGT